CAGACTGCGCTCAGTGCTTTTTTCCAAGAAACAAACATCCCCTACAGCCATCACCATCAGATGGTAAGTGCTTCCCCGACCCTTCCCTCTGCTAAATCGGTGCAGCAGCAGTGCTGGCATTGCACGGCTGGGCTGATGTTGCTAATGTCCAGGCCTCTGTTCCACCCCTCTGGGAGGGAGGGCAGAAATACACAGCAAAGCCACGGGGCGGGGGAGGCGGGGGGGCAGGAAACTTCCTGCCAAGAGAGAGAAGCTGGGGGTGGGCTGTGTTCTGGAAACATCGCTTGGGGGGAGCCAAAGGCCACAGGCTCGTGCATGCAGTGTGGCTTATTTAGGGTGAGGGTAAACGAGGCCTGCAAGCCAGGGTGCAGCAGCATGCAGTGTGCCCTGTACAGCGGGGGACGCTCTGTACGGAAATGGGAGGAGGAAGAAGCTGTAATTTTCACCTGTCGGATAATGCAAAGCAGAGACTGCGGCAGGAGAGAAGGGAGGGGCGGGCAGGCGTAGCAGGTGGGAGGGAGCAGAGATGGGGGGCAGGCATAGAGGAAGGGGCTGGGAGGGGGGCACTCAGAGCAAAGCCAGGCTTGTCCGGAAGGCTGATCCTTAGTGCTCTGAGTGCAGGAGAAGCAGGCAGAGAGGTGACGGGAACAGGGCCCGCACCCAACGGCTTGGAGCTGAACCAGACTCACTCCCTTTGGCCCCTCATCCCCATTAATGGGCCACCCTTCCCTTCCCCTCCTGGGGCGCCAGCTGTGAGAGCCTCCCTGAGAGCTAGAGAGCCATGAGCTGGCTAGCTCCATCAAGTCCCCCAGCCCAGGAAGGTGCCTGACAGGAAACTGAACCCTGCTCTGCCCAGTGGAAAGCTTTCTCCCAAGAGTCCTTCTGTGGGGGGTGCTGGAGGTGATGCATCCATGGAGTCCAGCGTAGTTCAGTGCACTGGCCACAGGCAGGTGTTGGTGGCCCACTGCTGCTTGTGGTGGCCCTGAATGTCCCATGAGCTACTGTGCTGCAATGAGCAGGCAGAGCAGGAATGTAGCAATGTCCTGCCCCTCCTGCTGGGTGCTGGGGCTAATCCCATTGCCCTGCACTGCTGGTGGCCAGCCAGGCCCTTACTGCTGTTGGCTGGGGAAGTTTGGGTCCCAGGAGAGCCCACAGTGCAGCCCGCACCCCTGACACTAAGGCTGCACAGAACCGCAGTGTTACGGCAGCTCCCAGCGGTGTTTGGAGGAGCTGCCAGCTCCATGGAGGCCGCTGTGATGCTCTCTGGCCTGGAGACCCGTCTCATGTCTCCTGCAGCCTCCGTGGTGTGAAGGGGCCGGGTGGTCAAGGCATTGCTCTGCCGATGGCACCTGTCCCGTCTGTGCGCGCACACACACACACACACACACACACACACACACACACACACACACACACACA